AAAACATACCTATGAATATTCCATTTCTGACAATAGATCCTCCTAAATGTTACACACTGGACCTTTTTAAAGGTCTATTAAAGCTGCAGTAAGTAACTTTTAAAAATATCTTTTTCTTTTCATATTTGCTTTTCACTGTATCCTGACAATATTACATACGATCTGTGAAACAGTCAGGTCCCACTGGCTCCTCCTACTGCTCCTAATGCTTTTGCTAGAATCCACCGGGCCTGAACAAAAACAACCAATCAGATCAGAGAAAGATAACTGCTTGTTTAGTCTCATTCCCAGAAGTCTCAACAATCAGCTATCCACAAACCAAAAGTGTTGATATTTGACGACCTGGAAATAAGTCTCAACAATCAACTTTCTTTCTTTCTTGGCTCTGATTGGTCATTTTCGTCCAGACCCAGTGGATTCTCACAAATGCTGTTAGCACTAGGAAGAGCCAGAGGAACCTGATTTTTTTTATTATTTCTTTTACAGATTACCTTTTTGTGAAAGTTTCAGCAAATATGAAAAAAGGTTAGGTACTCTAGCTTTCAACCCTGGTTCAGTCTTCCTCAGCTTGTGGAGCTGGCTCTGGTGGCCTAAGTCATTTGGTGACCAAAATACATGGTGACCATATACAAGCGCTCATTATCACATGACCTAGATTCTCTGCAAACAAAAAGCTGAATGAAGATCTGAACTGAAGCTGTGTGTTTTAGTTATTTTCCCTTTATCGCCTAACAAATATTGAAAGCCACTGATGGACTCGGGGCTATTCAGCTGTTGAAAAGCTGAACCTAAATAGATTTGATCAGGGATTTGGATTTGATAAGCAGATTCAATACCGGATTCCGAATAGATAAAGTGCTATTGAACCCCAACCCTAATTTACACTAGCTGTGATATCTGTCCCACCCTATTATAAAATCTGTCTGCATCTTTGTCATCACCACAATCTGTTCAACAGGCACCAGGAACAGCGCATAGTGGCCGAACCTTAATAAACTGTACCTGTGAGATGGGTGGAGGTGTTACTGTATTCAGCAGTTAGTGTGAGTGTGTGTTTGAACAGAGGGACGTTGTGATAAATGATACAGTGCTGCAGGCTCACAGGCCTGGCCAACGAGCAATGGCTCCTCTACCTTTCTCTTTCTTCAACTGTTTCTGTATCTAATTACAACCTCTATTTTCTCCTGCTTTCGCTCTGCATCTCCCTCTTTTTTCTCCTCCATTTGGCAGACATTCTCACTTTATTATGGCCCACACTGGCCTTTTATTGCCCACCAGCAGCAAACTTTGTGCAATTTGTCATTGAGGGAGTGTGGATGAGTTCTTTTGGCTGCCTCTGCCGCTCTAACCTAAAAATCTAATCAGATCAACGTAGGGCCCTAATCACTTCCTCTCTCGCCTTGATTGCATTTATAGACGTTCTGTCGCTCTGTGCTCCCCCAATCGAGCATTTCATAATTATTTTCCTCTTACATTTGTTTATTTATACCCTCCAGTACAGTACTTGCCAAGGCCTTTGCCAATGAGAAAGGATGAGAAGTTTATGGAGGTGGGGAGAGAAAGAGGAAGAGCCTTTGGGATAGATCTGAAAATCATTACCTCCCCTTTGTGCTCTAAATAAGTGCTTTACTGCTTTTATATACATATCAGTTCATTGTGTATATTACGATTCAAACAGAGAAGTAATACAGCCTTATGGTAATAAATTAGAAGCTTTAGATTACAGTAGTAATGTTGTAAGCTTTACTGATTTAGGTAATGAGGAATGGCATGTTTCAGTTTTCAATTCAACAGTACCGTACTTGGTGAATTAAAGGTATTGGTAGAAAAACCTACTTGCATTTTTCAGTCAGCAACAGAACAAATATTACTTAAAAAGACAAAACACTATGTGTACAACTTGCACAATCACCCCCAGAACGCTAACAGAACAGGATGGAACCACTGAAGCAACATTGAGTAAAGCCTAGGCCTTGCCAAGTTTGGAAAACTTCACATATCTGTGATCACATGGCCAGATGACCAAACGGCCACAAGAAGGTACTGATCCATTACTGTCCATCATTTACTTTCATGGATGACTTCCATTCTTCATTAAACCGACATGATTAAAAGTTGCACATGCAGTATGAGTTACACGAATGCTTCAGGCGACTTCAGAACATTTCACAACAGCCATTTTACATGAAATAGTAGGGTAGACAGAGGTGTTGATATTAATTAAGATTCTGTGCCATTCAGGTCAAACGGGGGACTGTTATTGTACATGTTGGCACACTGGAAAGGCTCTGCTACACTAAATGGAAAGGAGCCTTAAGTAGTATAATTTTTGTAGTCTTTTGTAGTCCATTTTGTAGTCTTGTGCCTCAACCAACTTTTACTCACTTTTCATTTGACTATGTGAGACTATGTGGTATGATGGCAGAAATTTTGCCTAGCTTTTGAGTGTGGCTTTTTCGAACCGGTACAAACATGAAGTATAATGACAGTTCATTTCAAACAATCTGGCCTTATCACATCGACCATACCAAGATCAGGGACTGACCAACCAGTATTACCAAGACCAACGCCTACAGCTCAATCCTCTTGCTAAAAGAATGTTGTACTATAATGTGTACATGTAGTTAAATAATATATACTATAATATTTCCGGAGCACCCTGGTGGTCTAGGCCCAGTTCATGTCACTTCCCATCATTTCCTGTTGTTTTTCGACAGTCAACTTACCAATAAAGGCATAAAAAATACATACTGTGTATACAGATGGATTTGTCTCTGCTGGCTCCTTCTTCCTATTCATTTTCACTTTGTCATTATATGTTTCAAATCCGTGGGCTCCTTTTTTACCAGTTTCCACTTTTATGAGTCGGAAGTTGAGCGGTACGGCCTGCCCACGTCCAGGCATCATTAAAAGGCAGGAATATTGAACAGCTGGAGTGAATAGATTATCTGCGTCAGTGAGACATTAACCTCATGCTGGGAGATGGTTTAGCCGCGCTCACCTCAGCCTGTGAGAGCGGGCTGGCCTTGGATCAAATGATGACAGAATCCTTGTCTCTTTATGTCCCTCTTATTACTCCCATCCACAGCTACACCGAGCATAAAAATTTTCCGAACGCCAGCTCCTAATGTTGCATCAAGTGTCTCGGTGAATCCATGAGAGAGATTTGATCCGTATTGATTTTCCCTTTTAAATCATCTGACATGGTGTAGCAGGGAGAAAGGATTTAGGTGAATGAGGGACTGAGATATAGATTTTTGAGAAGGGTTTTCAAGTCCAAGGTTTCCACTATTTTGTACTCACTGTGGAGATCAACCTTGTGTCTCACTATCACAATGTTTAACCAAGAATGTGAGTATGATTTTCTTTCTCCTCTCTGTATGTTCCAGGTTCAACTGATCCACTACAACCATGAGCTGTACACAAATTATACAGAAGCTGCTAAAAGCCCCAATGGATTGGTCATAGTGTCTATATTCATGAAGGTAAGTTTCATACATTTATTTAATGACTGTCCATGTATATTCACTCAGCAGCTATTATGATACATTGTAATAGGTTAAAGCCTGAAAATCCAACACAATACTAATCACTGCATTGGACAGGAGTTATCTACATTCTTCTAGACATACTGAATTTGAGTCACCAGCTACAGTGGCTGCACAAGGAACCTGACCTGGTTTAATCAGTGTTTCAGTATGACAGGACAGCTACAGTATACAGTACACAGATGGAAACATGTAGTACAAAACTGAGCAGTACTGAACATGAAGTGTTCAAAGTGTTTCTGTGGCAGCTTTGACATTTACACAAACATTTAGATTATAACCCTTTAAACTGCAATTTTTGTCACAACTCACAACAATTTACCAATTATCAAAATGGTGACCAATTTAGTGAATTTTTGAGTTGGAATGAAAATAGACCTTTTCTATATGGATTGGGTCCCGATTTAGCACCAATAGAACTCAGCAAAGGTACTTACTCTTTCTTAAACAAATAACTTTCATAAAACATATGTAACTAATATATATATATAATTATATAATAATTAAATATTCCATTGGTTTGAAAAAAGTGCATGTAGCTGCACACCCCGCTACATTTGGATTAAGCCAGCTGCGCCACGTCAACATTTTCTTCAGTATCAAAAGTATTGTAGCTGATAAATATCTGCATATCAAATTTAGGAAATAAAGCCAACAAAAAGGGCTGTGGTGTAGTCCATAGCTACCTGTCTGTCTCCATGGCAACACCACACCTCAGGTTTACAAGACCCAAAGTATGAAGGGAAGCACTCAAATCATACTCATTCTACTAATTTATTTATTTTTGTGCGTGTTCTCTCAATGCCTGCTCCCTGTTTCCTCACACAGTCCACGCACTGACCACTCTAAATTGCCCGTAGGTGTCGATGTGACCACGAATGATCATCTGTCTCTAATACAGATAAGATTTGTTGGAGCTAATTTGTAATGATTACACTAATAAAAATAGATGACTAAGGCACGCCTCATATTCAGTCAGGGAACAAAATGGCTCTGAGTATTATACTACTCAAAAGACTCCAAGTCTTTTAGATAACTACATTCTACAGAAAAGTATTCATTTAAATCAGTGGTTCCCAACCTTTTTTTATAATATGAAATATTTTCTGGAGATTTCATATTATATTCAATGTATAACAATAACAGTAGAGAACGACTGATAACGCAGTGTACAGTTAACCCAAACAGTGAACACAGTAACTACAGGAATTTGGATGAATTTTGAGCAGATTAATTTCTGTGAATATTGCTTGTATGAGATGAGGTTTTTCCTGATTTGTGTATACAATTCTCTCTGTATTATGTTTCTGTTTTTTCTTTTTACAGTCATACATACTTAAAAGGCTTCTATTTGACAAATTCAGATACTTTTATAATGCAGGACGAGGCTATTTATCAGAGATTGAAGGCTCTGTGAATATAGCTTGTGTTTAGATCTTAAATAATAATCTTAATCTTAAATTTAAGATAAATAAGTAATATTTAGTTTCCTTTACCGAAATGAACTATATGCTGAGATATAGGCCTATTGTGTATATTTTGATGAAGAAATGACCAGATGTCAGCTTTTACAAGCCTTTTATTACAGAGCTGACCAAATAATAATCAGAAGAGAAAAAGAAAGTTTCAGCCTTGTTGTTTTAAACTTAAATGTTATTTGGTTTTGTCTTATCAGATTGGTCACTGCATGTCAAGCCTTTTGAACTGTCAATTTTAATGACAGCTCTATGCTAATTGGAGAAGAAGGGCCATTCAATGAAATATAGTTGGGGAACTTCTTGTTGGGGAAAACCACCCAAATGGTATTAAAAGTATGCCTGTAAGTATAGGGAGTGGAAACGAAATGAATTATGTAAGTTTGTAAACCAACTCTAGGTATAGACAAATAATGTCAAATATGGGTGTGATTTAGAGGTGATTTTGTGTGGCTCTCATTTCACAAAGTGTCAGTCCATATTCAACTTAACTGTATCACGGTTGATTCTGCTGTTTTTTTGATTTCATGTACCTTTGAGACATTAAATTGGCTGATCTGATTCTGTATTTCTATCTAGTAGCCATAATACTGGTTTAAAAGAGAGCTGAATTATCCTTCAGCACGGCGGCCTCTTTGCTCCCATCCCTCCACTCCCCTGCTCCCTCTGTGTCTTTGCCCGAAATCTTCAACTCAAGAACTCACAACTCACAAACAATTAGCAATCCAATTATCCTGCAGAGCAAAACTCTGTGCTTCTTGGCTTTGTGTCAGCGGTGGTGGCAGTACTCCCCTGCCTCTTTGTTGTGTATGAGAGGTCTCCATCTTGAATGAG